GGACGGGAATGCGAGTGCTTCTGTCCCCGTGGGATAAGGTCCTAGGAAACTGAAATTTCCCCCAGACCATTTCTCTCTGGAGTAAAACAGTAGATTTGAAAGTGCAGGCCCTCTTCATGATAGCCCACATAGCCAGCCACTCCCCAAAGGGGAGTCCAAAGATGCAGGCTCAAAACAGCTTGCTTGGATCCATCAACAAACCATTTCTAGCAGTTCCGTGTCTACCAGGAGCTGGTCTTACATATATTTGTTTGTTTGTTCATTTAAATTATTTACAGACTGCTTTTCATCATAAAAAAAATAACAAGGCAATTTACAAGGTAAAAGCAATACAATAAAAGCAAGAGTAAAACATGACAAAAGTCTGGCAAACTCTTTACTAAAACTCAATGAGTGTGAATGCCTTTGCCAATAGGTATGTTTTAAAGAACTTGCAGAAGACCCACATTATGAAGCTAAGGAGTCATAACTGCCATTCACAATCTTGTTTGCCTTCAAGTTGTTTCTGGCTTACAGGCAACAAGGCAATCTATCATGAGGTTTTCTTTAAAAGATTTATTTGAGAGGGTTTGTCATTGCCTTCTCTCCCTTTTTCTCTCTGAAATATTTTATTAAGAGATTTTTTCTATACTATAAAACTCTATATAATGGAAATACATAAAGCAAAAACAAAACAAATCCAGAACAGCAAATGTATACATTTGAAACATAGATAAACATAAAAATCAAAAATATTACTAACCCTACAAAACGTAATGGAAATGTAATATTGACTTTCAGCTTTTCAACTAATACAGTAGTTATCTATGATATGATATTAAACTTCCTCTATTATCAACCCCTTATAATTTTCTTGGTTGGTTGGTTTGTTATGTGCCTTCAAGTCATTTCTGACTTATGGTGGCCCTAAGGTGATGCTATGATCAGGTTTTCTTGGCAAGATTTGTTCAGTGGGGGGTTACCATTGCCTTCCTCTGAGGCTGAGAGAGTGTGACTTGTCTAGGGTCACTCAGTGGATTTTCATGACCAAGCAGTGATTCAAACCCTGGTCTCCAGAATCATAGTCCAATGCACAAACCACTAGACCACTCTGTGTTTCTAGTGTTAATTAATCCTATTTATCTTTAAATCCAACCCGTGAACATTTTCCTGTTGTATCTGTAAGAAATCAATTACATGTTCCCAATATTTTAAAAATATTTTTCTCTACAATCAACTTTTCCATTTCAGCCAAATCATATAATTTCAGTATCCAGTCTTCGTTCATCAGGGTCGTCTTGTCCTTCAATTTCTGTGCATATAGAAGTCTCACAGCTGTAATCATATACTGTATGATTCTCCCATGTTTAACCTCCACTTGTTCATCAAACATCTCCCAAAAGAAAAAAAAAATCAGGTTTTAACTGAAATTTTATCTTCAATGCACCTTGAATCAGTGTATGAATGAAAGCTCAAAACCTTTTTGTATTATCACATGTCCACCACATATGATAGAAAGATCCTGATTGTTGTTTATATGCCTTCATATGAGGCTGAGAGAGTGTGGCTTGCCCAAGGTCAGCGAATGTGTTTCCATGACCAAGGGGAGAGTCAAATCCTTCTATCCTGAAGTCCTAGTCCAACATTCAAGCCACTAAACCATGCTATCTGTCATTCAAGACCTAGCCACTCTAAAATATCACATTTCCTGCTACTGTAACAATTGTAGCTCAACTCAAAGAGAACAAGGAAGCCAATTACACTAATGGTTGATGAATTATATGGACCCTTGTTATCTGATTATTACTTGTTCAAGTGGAAAGTTAACAAACATTCCATGGAAGAATAAACTAAATGAAACAGGTCTTGTGTAAGGCTAATGAATCTTACCTGCCCATTCAAAATCAAGAAACTCTAAACTATTTTGCATAATAACAGGATCAGCTTACAACAACATATACAGTCATCTCTCCATATTTATGGGGGTTAGAAGCACAGGACCTTCATGAATGCAAAAATTCTGCAAATAACACCTCCCCCAGTTACAGAGTGGCAGCGAGGAGTTGAAAAGGTGTGCGCACACGTGCCTTTCTTTTCTCTCCCTGTTGCCCTGTAGCCAGCTCAGCTGGGCTAGTTACAGGGTAGCAGGGAAGGGATGGGGAGAAGTGCGTGTGCTTGCCTCTCTTTCTTCTCATTATTGCCCTGTAGCCGGCTCAACTGGGTTAGAGCAGCAGGTAGGGGATGGATAGGAGGGGGAGTGCACATGCACGTGGTGGCCTTGACCTCATGAATGATCAAAACCATGAATGCCAAAGCTGTGAATACGGAGGCACAACTGTAGTTGCTGGGGAAAATTCAACATCCCACAATCTGCTATTAGGCTCACACCTATGCTCAAAGAGAACAAAGATGCCCGAGGAGCTAGCATAATCCCTGCTATTTTTCCTGGTTGTGCAAAAGGTTCTGAACCATATGAATTTCCATCATGACTGACATCTTTTTGCTTGCAGATAGACTAGTTCAGAACCTCAAACATTACCAATGCTCAAGGGATTGAATAGAAATTCAAGAAAACACGTGCCCTTGCCCAGCATGACTAAGCAGCGCACTCTGCAAACAAATATGCACAAAGGACAGCAGTTGCTGACAGGTATGAAATAATTCAGAGCCAACCAGCCTGCTCCAAGGATCTGAAGCAATTTCATAACTGAGTAATAGAATACAGCAGGGTATGAACCATGCTATATCATAATCTGAATGGAATGCTGGGAGGTCATTCAAGCAGTTTGATCACCCAGACTTACAAAAATGCAGCTTGCAAAACTTGGAAGTGTTGGGAAATGAGAGCGTGGCTGGATCAGTGCTGTTGTCTGGATCTCCAAATTCAAAGCAGGAGTTTCTCCTATTTGGAGCCAAAGATTCCTGGGTTCAAAAGGAATCACTTTCAGAGACTTCTGCTTAGACAAGGGGATGGCCATTCTCCATGGTACACAGTCTACATATTTCTCTCCAGCTAATGAATCCTGAATCGCATTTCTAATAGACCTTATCAAATATCTAAATATGTACATTGAAAACCAAGAATCTCCTTGAAACTAGCAGGAGATTAGATCTGAGTTCAGAAAAGTCTCCTTTTTGGATTAAAACTTCTAGAAATCCCCAGCCACCGTGGGTACTGGCTAAGGTTTGTGAGAGTCTCCATCCCAAAAGTGACTTTTCCTAGTTCTAAAACAGCCACCATATTTATGTCATTTTTAGTTGGGTCTAGTTCAACTTCTGTAGGGAGGAGCACCTGTAATTTCTCCAAGGAATAATGTCAAATTAATAATGTTGATGACCTGCTCAGAATCTTCCTTCCTATCCTGAAATGCAAAGAAGTGTGAAAATTCTGGTAAATTCTTCCATAATGAACTGAAACAAAGGTCTTCACCAGCCAAATTCAACAAGCACAGCTATTCACAGAATGGAAAGATACAATTTGTGCTTACAATATGTAAAAATGATAAGCTTTAGGGGGGAGTCCACACAACTCTAATTCAGGTTAAATAGGTTGGTTGGTCTTCAAATTCAAAATTTGAAGAGTCAAGCATTCAGTCCCCTGGACCTTGCTGAAAAGATCTTTGTTTTGGTTGCTTCAACTTTTTTTTTAATTTTTCTATCCTAAATATGAAAATAAATAAATGGAAAAGTGGTAATTTTCTATTAAAAATGAAATGAATTGAAATTCTCACATTCTCAAATTAATTCATATATTTCCTGCTGTGAATCCTACGGCCAAGTGAAACATGTTTAGGAAACTTCAAAGTCCACAAGCTGACATGGTAGAACATTGAACATGAATGTTCTTTCTTTTGCAATACTTTCAAAGCTTCACACATATATTGTTTGCCATTGTCACTTCCAGCTTCACTAACCTCAAAATCAGATTTGTTCAACAATCAGTGTCATACAACTATTTCCCCCCAATTAGACAACATCAGTTGATGCTAATGCATGACAGTAATGCATCACTGAAACATATTTAGGAGTAGCCATGTTTCTCATGCAGCAAACAGCAAATTACAGAATCCTCAAAAGAGTGAACAAATAGAGATAATGTTCTTGTGTGTATTTAGGAGAGAGCTATGGTGTTCCAAAATTTGGGGGAAGGGGTGCTGATGCTTAGTGATGTCTGCTGATATGTAGTCCAATCCTGTGACTGTTTACTCATAAATCTCATTCTGTTCAATGTAGAATGCTTAGTAAGTGGGCAAAGGACTGTTGCCCAAGTAATGGTTTCCCTAACAAGGATAATAAAAGTGGGAATTAAAGAAGAAATGAGGGGAAATAATTTACCTTGTATACAAGATAATTCTAGAGAATTTCTTGCCAGCACACACGTACAATGTTGCTACTCACTAACAAAGTGGAGAAATTCATACTCAACAGTGGAGCCAGGTGTTATTCTGTTGGCCAAGATCCATTATGGTTGTTATGCTTCCAGAACTGCTTCTTTCAGTGGAACTAAGAAAGGACAATTTTCCCCACTGCATCCCTACACACTGCCCCATGAACTCCCAAACCCTGCTCTGGGAGGCTTTGAAACTATCTGGAGCAGGGTTTCAGATGGCACAGAGGGTTGGAGGGTCAGATCAATGCAAAACATTTGGTTGCCTGATACACACAGCAAATCAAAATGCCTAGGACCCAAAGTCACACTAGGAAGGAAATAGAACAAGCACCTCTCTCCATCCATGGCAATAAAAATACAATGTCAATAAATAAAATTCCCCCTTTTTAATGAGCCTTTTCTTGACACCCACAGTAGATTGACTCTGCTCCATGTGTACACATTTCTAATGGCTGATATTTTCTCACATGCACTATCTCCCAAAAGATATAAAGGAATCCAGTAACATCATTGAGACAAGGAGGCTAAGAAGACTGCCCCAAAGGAGTGGCTCTGCACCACCCCTTTGAGCACCAGATTGGGGCCACAGCAACCACATGCCACAGCCCCTTTTTAACATGCTGAAATTAAAGATTCTATGAAATTCTACAAAATTCATTACTTTTCATTTGATTTTTCATCTTCTGTATGATTCTCTGAGTTGTGTACCATTATAAATGAAATGTAGCCTTTTGTACTTCTATAACAGGGGTAGGCAACCTAAGGCCTGGGGGCCGGATGCGGCCCCCCAAGGCCTTTGGACTGGCCCCAGGCCGGTCCTGCCACCACCGCCGCTGCCGCCCGCCATGATGATATTGATTATTGTTGTTATTACTTGTTCTTGGGGTTTTCTTGACAAAATCTCCACAGGGGTTTTGCCATGGCTTTTCTGGGGTTGAGAGTGTGTGCATGCATAATTTTAATTTTTTTTTAAGCTTTAATTTTTTAAAATTTATTTATATATTTATTTTTGGTGCTTCGGCCCCCCAATTGTCTGAGGGACAGCAACCCGGCCCCCAGCTCAAAAAGGTTGCCTACCCCTGTTCTATAATCTTATTTATATCCTTTGATACTCCATTCTATTAATCTCTATTCAACCAGTATGTGGGAAAGACCACAATACCATAACCTACTTTTAATCTATGACACAATATATGACAATATTTATTATCCCTTGAAACTTGCATAATTATCTATTTGCACCTTTCCAGCTGATAAATCAGTTTTTTTCTATTTCCATTTTTCCTTACATAGATCTAACAAAGGTTTCCATTCTAGCTCCACTTTTTCTATTGACTTTCTAGTTAACATTTGTGTGAGTTTGTCCATCTCAATGGCCTGAAGTGTTTTTTGAAGCCATGAATCAATGTCTGGTATGGAAGAGGGGGTTGCCTTCTTCTGAGGTTGACATAATGTGGTTTATGCAAGGTCACCCAGTCAGTTTCCAAGGCTGAGCCGAAATTCCAACCTTGGTCTCTAGAATCATACTCCAGTGCTCAAAGTACCACAACAAGCTGGCCTTTCATATCCCAGGACATGTTGGGATTTTCTTTACTTTCTATCCTATTCCCCTGGCACAAATTCTATAGCCACCTTGTGTTTCACTCTGGGAGAAAGGTAGCTGTCATGAATGAGATCCCTTCATTCATCTGAGGGCTTCTCCCAGACATAAAAAGGGTTAAATGTT